AGAATTTCTGTGGCAAGAATAGTATGAATATGAAGGGTTTGGAATTGGTTTTGGAGCATGAGCTTACATTCCTTCGTTGAGACTTCAAATCACACACAACACAACTTCATCATCGAGTGCACAGGACAAAGCGTCCAAGTCTTGTAGGCGGTCAAAAATGGAATGTCTACAATAAGTAAATAAAACAATTGACTTTTGAGGGCTGCTATTTACTCTTACTTTTTTTTTCTTATGTGCTCGTATTTATAGAATTTGAACAAAATAGGTTATAAATATCTTTAAAAATGGACAACTGGCCCATTCCCGTCCAGAACAGTGTTACTTACTATCGAGAGCCAGCCGGCTCCCAATAGCTACGGCCGGCTCCCAATGTGGTACGGCCAGCTTCCAATGTATTCCCCTGTTCCTCTGTTTCAAGCTCAAGGTAGGGTGGTACAATGGTCAAAAAAGAATTTCTGTGGTAAGAATAGTATGAATATGAAGGGTTTGGAATTGGTTTTGGAGCATGAGCTTACATTCCTTCATTGAGACTTCAAATCACACACAACACAACTTCATCATCGAGTGCACAGGACAAAGCGTCCAAGTCTTGTAGGCGGTCAAAAATGGAATGTCTACAATAAGTAAATAAAACAATTGACTTTTGAGGGCTGCTATTTACTCTTACTTTTTTTTTCTTATGACCCCCTCTCTTTTATTTTATTTTTTAAATTTTAATTTTAATTTTATCCAAACATAAAATTTAATTTCTACACTCATCCCCAACCCTCCAACCCTAATTTCCTAAACCCTAACCCTGATTTCTAACCCAACAAATTGAACAAGCTATACACAATGGATAAATTTTTAGTGTATCAATATAGAAACCTATATTACAAAATAATTTGTCATTACTGTTTATTGTGATGGATAGATGGGTGTTGATGCTTTGTAAATTTTAAACTCCACCTTTTCAATTTCCCTCCCCCCTCCCCTCCTTTTTTTGATGTGTTTTTTTTTATTGTTTTTCCCAACATTTGTTTGTTATTATAAATCCCATTTGATGGTCTTTCATGTTTTATTTTCCTTATTTTGTTCTTAGGGCATTTGCACTTTTACTAAAATTTCACTCTTGTCTTTCAACTTTCACCAAAATCCCACTTGACCACTCTACTTTTAATTGTGCCTTAAGAAAAATATCATGTTTGACTCACAGGCTAATTTCTATTAGCCTCACACGATATAGACATAAGGGTCACATTGTAATTTGACATAATAATCACAATTAAAATTATAGGAATACTAAGTGTAATTAACCCTAAATAGTTTTTTTATTTGTAATGTTTACAATTATTAACATGACCATCTCAAAGGGTGAAAATTTTAGAAATCGTGTAATTAACCCTTATTTGGTTTATATTATTTTTTTTTAAAATTGAGTTTTTTATTTTTCGTGTTTTTTTTGGTTTCGTTTTTAGTGAATTTTTAAAATATTTTATGCATTTTTTTTATTTTTGGAAACATAGATAATATTTGTGAATTTTATTTTATTTTATTTTTTGAAAATCACCAAAATGGAGAAGGGAGATAATGGGGTCAAAAGAAATAGGGAGTCCTAAAAAAATTAGGGGAACTAAAATGGATACTCTTAAATAATCATATGATAAAACTATAAAGTTAGTTATATCCTTTCAAACCTCATGGAGGGCCACGTAGTTTATCCTTTTCTTAAATGTTAGAAGATGGTTAGTTTATATAAGCTGGGAGTGTCCTAGGTGCAATTTAAAGCCTCCAATAATCAATCTTGTTTTTTTTTTTTCCCCCCCACCAATGCTCATCTTCAAAATATGTTCGAAGAGGTTTGTCTAAAAATTTTGACACTATTAAAAAGCTGAGAAAGTCAATATTAATATTGGAGTACTTATGTGTAAGTCTTAATAGGTAAACTTATTGTTCAATAGATTCTATGATAATTACTAATATTTTTCATTAAATACTATTAAAAAACGTCACTAATTATTAATTTTCAGCTGTAGTTTGAAATTTTGTCACAAAAAAAATGTCACTAATTATAAGTTTTAGCAAATTTTTTTTAAAAGTCACTAATTTTTAACTTTCAGCGTCAATTTAAAAAATTCGTTACAAAAAAGTCACTAATTATAAGTTTAGCGACAATTTATAAAAATCATGACAAAAAAGTCCCTAATTGTCAATTTTTAGCGACATAAGTAGAAAATCGTCACAAAAAATTATTTTTAGCGACGATTTTATTAAAACTTATTTTTAATAGAACTTAATGAGAATTAAATCCTACTATTATGACATATGGGTAGTTTACCCTTAATATTGCTTAGAAGCAAACTAAATGAAATCCTTTGTAGAAAGCATAACCCATTCACAAGGCTATGTTGAATGATATTTTAAAATAATAATAACAACAATAATAATACCAAATTTCTATATGAATTCACCATTTAGATGACAATTAAATAAAAATGTGAATATTAATTTTTTTAATCGAGCCCAACCCACTCTCCCAATAATCTTAGATTCTTAGTTAATTCAGGAATAACGAATTTAGTTGAAATTATTTTATTTCATGTTCTACTCATATAGCTGATTATGAGATCCTAAGAATGAAATACTCATCACTAATCTTTATTTCCAGTCATCCAAACACAACTTAGAGGTTGGCAAAGATGTGCCCATTCATCATTCCATATTCAGCAACTTGCAACCACTAGTTTTTAGTATGGCAACAGCTTTAAAATTAGATTTTTCAGAAATTTTTTTTTTTTATTTTTTTTTTCAAAAAGTTTATGAAACTTTTAAAATTTGTTTGATGTTCTCTATTAAAAAAAAAAAAGTCAGATCTGTGTTCCCAAACAAACACATTACTAAACACTGTCACAGTAAAATGAGATAGATAGATGTACAGTTTATGATGAAAATAACTACTTTTATGCTGTGTTTGGTGGAGGGATTTGATGAGGGATTTGGAAAAGGAAATGGAAAAGATAGGTGAAATATGAATAAAACATGTTTATATTTCACCTAATTTCACACACCTTTTCTGTTTCCCTTTCCAAATCTCTCCCTAAATTCTCCAACCAAACACAGCATTAAGCAAGAAAATGAGTCATTATTAGCTTCATGGCTCTTGTACAGTTCAGTTACTCATTGTAAAAAGTTGCAAGTATGTTAACTATACATGCACATGACTACATAAAAAAGACACTACTCTAAAGCTTTGTAAATAAATAATAAATAAATAAAACACACAACAACTAGCTATGTTTGGATAATAAATTTATGGAGGGATTTGTGCAAAGAAAAGAAAAGGGAAAATATATGAAGAAGTTGAAGTGAAGAAATAATAGAAATAAAAAAGAAAAGAAAAAGAAGAAGCTAAATTTATTTATTTATTTTGTTTCCCTTTCATTGTCTTTTCTCCTGATAAATCCAAAATAATGTTTTCAATATGCATTAGCTATCACAATTCTAACTGTTCTATATTAATGGCTGTACATTGTTCACTAATCTTGACAGTTATTCCCTCCCATTCAGATTAAAATAATTTTTTTATTTTATTTAATATCTTCTGTTGAGTCAAGAAGATATTTCGACTGTAATGTTAATATGAGAATGGCTTGGAAAGCTTGGAGGAGCTTTATGAACATTTGCATAACTAATACAAATCAAGTTGGCTTGATGTATTCGAGGAAATAGTAATACAAATCAATTATGTGTTCAAACCCACATTGCTAGAAATTATTCAAAAAGCCCATGTTTAATTGAAACTACTCGACAAACAAAACTCCCTATTTTAAACCAATTTTGACCTAATTTCATTGTTTAGTCTTTCCGTCTTCTGTACAATTTGCTTTGGCAAGTTTTTATTACCCTGCAACCCAAGCAATGGAACGAAGAACACTCGTGCTTGGAATTAGATTCTCATTTCACCTCACTTCCTACCATCAACACATCAAATTTGAGATGAATAAATTTGACATTAATGATGGATTAGAGAGCTTTATAATGACAGATTTCAAGTAATTTTGTAATAAATAATAATTATAATCCTTTTATAAAAGATTCTACTCGTACAAGAATCTAAACAAAATACATGAAACGTACCTAGGTTCAACCCTCCACTCTATAGTTGTCATTTACCTTCAATAACTAATTTTATAAAATTCAACCTCAAACTCCTTCATATGACACCCACCCATCCAAAAAGGAGCCTAAGAGTTGTGAAGTATGAATTCCACAAAAGAAAAGCATGATGAAGGTCACAAAAGGAATACCCTATGTTCATAAACTTGGAGAATGCAAGGATGGGAATATTACCAAATATGCCTAATATTAGTGGAAGACATATCTTTCCAGAAGTTCATGACAGATTTCTAATGACAGAAGTTCAAGCAACACGAAACACCAACCCCAGAAGTTCAAGCAACACGAAACACCAACCCTGTGTTTGGTTAGAAGATTTAGAAAAGAATTTGAAAAGGAAAAGGAAAAAAGTATATACAACTAAGTGAAATATAAATATATTTTATTTACATTTCACCTACCTTTTCTCTTTCCCCCTCAAATCCTCCAACCAAACACAGCGTAAAATTAAATTATTAAAAAAAAAAAAAACCAAAAACACCAATGCACAAGGTTTCCACTTAAACAAGACCTTCAATTTGCCGCGAGGCTATTTTAGTGATTTAAACCCATGTTACTAAAGATGTTGACAACAAACTATACTATACCATTAACCCAAACAGCCTTTTCACCTAAATAATAGTTTTTGACTGCTAAGGAGGTAGCTAACTTGATCAATAGTCTTCGAAAGTTGGGCTACTGCTAATTCACCTATAGCAGGTTTCATGGTAAAGGGGGATGAACAAGTGATGAAGTAGCTAATGAAAACTGCCTAGATCTATTCGGGTATAATTCTCCTTCAACAAATACCCACAGACAAGCATATATATACATATATATATATACGACCAAAACATGCCATGTCAAGCCAGTAAAAAATAATAAATAGAACACTCATTAACTTAACACTATTCCCACAATTTATACACAGTGATGAACAAACAAAGATTTCATTCTAGTTTGGCAAAGATTCACATCTCCTACGGGGAAAGAGATAATCAAGTGATTCTTTTAAACAACAGAACAAATCAAGAACCATCTTTGTTGTTTCTTTGTACAAGTCCAGTCTGCATTTTGCTGGCCAAAAAGAGATTGAGCACTATGAAGAGTTCCTGTGTGGAAACAATTGTTGAAGCGCTTGAGGCAGATTCAACACAATCTCCGCATATGCTGGACAAAAACCAGAAGAGTAATGTCAATATAGGAGTATTGCAAAACCATACAAAGGTCTCAAAAAAAATTAATTCAAATAAAGAACTAGTATATTAAGAGTCACCCAAAACCTAAAGGCTTCAAACAGAAGGTACTGATTACCAATTTGCATGATCGATGTCTTGTCTGAATAAACACTACTTTTTACATAAGAGAACAAATGAATTAATTAAGAATAAGTGCTTGCTCCTCTTTCCTTCCTTAACTATTCCTGAGATGATTATCAGTGACCAAAAAAAACAAAGAAGAAAATTCAAATGTAACAAAACTACAAGAAGATTTGGTAGTGTGAAAAAACTCCAAGCTGTCCTAAAAAACTAGCAGCATTTATATCCAGAAGCTTAAGCCAGATGCAGCATTCATCTAATGACAAACTGAAACAAAAGAGAAAAAGATGAATTGTCGAGACAGAGTTCATCTCATAAAACACAAATTAGTTCCCCACATTGATGAGACCTTATCAAAGCATAAACACTGATAGAACAATTTCTGCAGCTGACAGTGTAGGCTGTGCCTACACTGCCGGCTGTGCAACCTTTTTTTTTTTTTTTTGGAAAAAGCTTGCAACAGTGGGCTTTTTGGCTAAATTTTCATTTTAGGCTATAATAGCCTCTTTAGCCACTTCCGAAACAGCGCCATAAGAGAACATATGAATTAATTAAGAATAAGTGCTTGCTTCTCTTTCCTTCCTTAACTATTCCTGAGATGATTATCAGTGACCAAAAAAACCAAAGAAGAAAAATCAAATGTAACAAAACTACAAGAAGATTTGGTAGTGCGAAAAAACTCCAAGTTGTCCTAAAAAACTAGCAGCATTTATATCCAGAAGCTTAAGCCAGATGCAGCATTCATCAAATGACAAACTGAAACAAAAGAGAAAAAGATGAGTTGTCGAGACAGAGTTCATCTCATAAAACACAAATTAGTTCCCCACATTGATGAGACCTTCTCAAAGCATAAAATATCTGTCATCAGACTAAATCAATAGAACTTCATTTAGTAGAAGCAAAACCTTCTGGTAAACTCATAGTTCGTAATGCATCCTCCGCATAAGATAGACGTGCTGGAATGGAGTGGCTTCCTGACACGCCATCTCCCTTCTTGCTCATTGTTGCTGTAACTGTACTAGTTGCAGATTTCTTAGATTGGTGCATGGGCCATACTAGGACACTAATTCGAGTTGGAAGCACAGAGATGAGATCTGCATATCTGAGACTTACGGTTACCTTGCTGCAACAACAAAATGGACTTAGCAAAGTGAAATTTATCTTAAGAAGGCTATCAACTCTTGTACCACAAAGAACATATATGTTGCACAGTAAAATTACATGATGAAATTTCAAGGGCATATTTCAACACCTTATGTTTACTACTTGACATGAGGACACATACACGGTGGTCTACGCAAAAAAAAATAGGACAGAGGTGTGGATTAAAACCCTAATCATGGTATCCAGCTTTTGCTTTGGAAAGACCCAAATGCCCATGTCGTCCAACACTTTTGGAACAACACTAATAATGTTTCTACCCTACAAATAGTTTCCTATTCAGTTCACCAAAATCCATATTCTATCTTCCAAAGTGAACTGGACACGTCAATAACATGCATCCCAAATAACATGCTTTCAAAATCCAAAAGTGCCTACATTTTAAAGTTTTCAAGTTTGTTTGCATACCATTTTCCATTAGGAGAAAAAAAAGTGAAAAGAGCTGAGGTAAAGAATAAAACATGAATCCAAAAGACACCCGACTATATCCCAGAAAACATGCTTTTATAATCCAAAAGTGCCTAATTTTAACATTTTCAAAACATCATAACAGGGCAAGTGCATGAACTATCCAAACGGCCATGTTGCAAGCTCCAAGATGCCAAAGAACAAAATAAATCAGCAAGAATGATAACCCCATGAGTAGTAAGCATAAACAGGTAGGTATTCTATCTCCCAAAAGGTCTAGTTGGCTTCACAGCACAAAGTCTCCAGCTTAGGAATTCCCTAGCTGTGAACCATGACAAGTGGGAAAAAAAACTTAAAGATTGACACATTATTTAAAAAGCCGTGTTGGTGCATTATTCCAGATAATGAAAAGTTCTTGGCCTATTAAAAGAGAATAACATTATCGCATCACTGAAGGCAGACATTCATCCTTTGATTGTGCTTTCATTAAATGCATTGATCAGCCAGTTGCCCAATGTAGATCTACAAGTGAACAATATGACATTTGCATTTGCTCTCATTATGTGGATCCTAGTCAATGACTAATCCAAAACTATTGTCGGAAAACCTATTGTTTGTCTCTTACAATAAACAAAATACAGATCAATTTACATTGACTAATGAAACCCACATTAAAGTTTACTAAATTGTTTCCTTCAATTTCTGACAAGTCGTAAGTTAACTCCTACGTTCTCTAATTCTATTCATATATACACATTATGATTAACAATATATAACGCAATTAATTTAATTACAACAGCCATTTTGGTGATGCAAACCCTCATACAAACAATAGAGTAACCATTCCATTGAATATCATCCAATATACAACAGTTGCTGTCAAAATTTAAAAGAGGTCTTCTTAACCAAAAGACAATAATCAACGCTGACACACTCTCATATCTTTCGTGTGGCTCGCAACTGAAGTTTTTTGCGTATTCAGAGATTTTTAACTGAACCAGCCAACCAGGTAATTCAAATGCATGCATTATGCCGGAGATTAAAAAAATGCAAATTTTACTGTCACAAGATAGACAGATTAACTACATGCTGACACAAAAAAGTTCAATGAAAAAAAAAAGCAAAGAAAGAAAGCAAGAACTTTCAGGCTAGATGAAAAGTTAGTAATCAGACTAAAAGATAATCAACCCATGGTCCCTTGCATACAAAAACAAATACAAAAAAGTCCACCTACCAATCAAAATCATCTAACACAAACTCAATCATGTGATAGGGGAGACTATGATAAAGCTCCCCGATTTGATTCCCATACAACTCCTTAATAAGTCGAACCTGCATGAAAACAAGACGAATATGAGAGGTATGTTAATCTCTCTAGCATTAAAAAAATCTAATAAAAGAAAACTATCTTGTTTGGAAGCAAAAGAACACTGAAAGTTTGTTTTCCTTGTTAAATAGGAGAGGAGCTCAAATCCTCAAATTGGCAGCTTGGCTGCATTTGAACATTTCAGATTTCATAGAAACTTAAATCTAAGATTCTCCCAAATTCTGGCCCTCTTTCTGGTAAAGTTCCTCAGAGATATTTTCATAACACCAACCATTCTTAACTAGTAAAAGACAATCCTTTGATATAATAATAAACTGTTATAATATCAAATACACCAGCACAAGATAATAGGCATGAACTAAATTACATACAAAAAGAAGCGAAGTAGATGTTTTCACTTGAGTGAGACAAAATAAATCCTAACAAAATAATAGCAAGGCCATAGTAATCAGCAACCTAAGTTTTATGGTAAGATATACACCGCCTCATCTTTTTCTTCTCATTCTTGTTATCGATTATTTTTACAGAAATCAAATTGAATTTTCTGTGTGTTTGAGTTTAATCCTTCGTTTTCTCTATTTAAGGGGGGAAAAACATGACACATTCTCTCTCTGCTTGGCAGTTCTTGCCAGCACAGACAAATTTAACTTTTCAAGATGGTTTGAAGACGCTAATAACTTCATTTTGACAGAAACAAGTGAGTTTTAGATTCACACACATGTATTATTTTTTCCTTGTGTCTTAATTCTTACACATGTCAGGCACAATATCAGAAGAATCATTAAAAGCGTATAGCAACTAGGAGCGAGCAACTATGTTTAAGCAGAAAAGTTGAATAGCAACAACTTTTGTTTTGCCATGATCAGTGACTGTTTTTTTTTGGACAAATGCCATGGTATCCATACCACATTTATGATATCAATGACATACCTGTTCCCTCCTATCCACATAAGCCTGCAACAGATCTCCAACATGATCAATAAATTTCTGAAACAAAACTGTTGAGATGTTAGGTTGAGCATATTTTGTGATAAGCAAACCAGCAAAGATGTTCCAAACAACCAACCAGACCATTGCATTTGAAGAGAGAAGATCATTTTCTGCTTCACGTATTGGCAGAAAGAAAGGAACTGTGTGCTCAAGGACAGTCATCTTTTCAAGAAATGATTTGCTCTCTAGCACACAGTGGTACAGCTCACAAGGTTCCCCTGCAAAATTAAAGAAACAGATGGATCAACTTGCCAACTCCTTACTTGATGAGGGGCTATGAAGCACCGACACTTCAAAACAAGTGTTGTAGGGGTGTCAGACATGGGGCACATATGGTACTTTTTTCAGGGAACACGTTGTGGACATGCCGGGGGCACTTCAACCAAATTTTTTTCCCCTTTCCTTGGGCTTTTGATTGATGTTAGGTGCTGAATGTTTATATTACTTTTTGCTTAGATTTAAATATTTAATAGATCATCTATAAAAAAGATATAAACAATAAGTGTTAATTAAAAAGTGATTTTTTTTTAAATATCAATTTACTGTTAGTGAATCTACATTGCAAATAAAAATATATGAAAAATATATATTTTATTGCCGTGTCCCCGCCGTCCGTGTGTGCATCTGTATCCATGTCCGTGCTTCTTAGATGGGGGGGTCTCCAGCAAAAGGATTTAACTATTTTAGAATGTGTGAATAAATTCAACCATGAAAATGCTCCTTCCTCCTTCCTCATCTCAAAATAATGACAACTAAAACAATAAAGGATGAATCCTTAACAAACAACAGTAACAATGATACTTAGGGTTGGTTTGGGATGTCCTAAAAAAGTGCACTTTTTGACTTATTGGTGGGTTTGGGTTGGGTTTGGGTTGGGTTTGATGTGATGTGTTAGAGAGGTGATGTGATTTAAATAAGATGATGTGACTTAAATAAGATAGTGACTTTTTGACTTTTTGACTTATTTAGTACATGCCAAACTAGCCCTTAATGTTCATAACATTTATTATGATTTTATTATCCTTGGCCTTCACTTGTTGCAGTATAAGCCATTTCAATGAAAAATGACTTAATATAGCATTTTCCCAAAGATAATAGCAGAATAAACTTCCACCCAATTTTTTAACGAAACAGTCTTTAAATTAACACTACATACAACATTTTGTAACGTGTCCAGCTTAGGAGAGGATTTGCAACACAAAAACCCAAATTCTTAGGCTCTGTTTGGAAGAGTTTTGAAAATATATTTCTACCTCTTAATTTGCGCGTGATGTTTGGTTGCCGTTTTCAAAAATTAATTCTACATCCACTTTTGAAAACTCTGTCGAAGGCGGAAAAATTTGGGCTAACCGGTCGTCCCCCCGGACATCCGGCCAGTTGATCGGTACAGTGCAATATTTTTATTTATTTATTTATTTTTACAATTGGCACCTGTTATTTTTTATATTTTAAATAAAAAAAAATCCAAAATTTTTTAAATTTTTTTTATGAGTTTTGAATAGAATTTTGAGTTGTTTGTTTAGTTATGAATTGTAAGTTTTTGTATCAAATATCATTTGACACATCAAAAATTTCCCACTCAATCCAAAACTCTTTTCAAAACTCATTCACCAAACAAATTTTTCACACTCAAATCATAATTCCAAAACTCAAAAACTCAAAATACAACTCCTATTCTCAAATTATATTTAGAAAACTCTACCAAACGCTACCTTAGTTTTTCCAGATCTTGAATGCTTAAGCAATGGCCAAATAGATCCCCAAAAGCGCATAGGGGCCAACCGAATTGCACTGATCTATGCAAATGCCACACAATATCTATTTAATGGTAATCAATCACAGAAAAACCCATTAACCAATTTCCCGTTACAAGTACCACTTATTAAAATAGTATTCGCCATATAAGAAAACTCTGACAGAACAGAGAAAGCTTCTTATTGTTAACCCAATGAGCTACCGAAACAATCATGCAACAAAATGAGAAATGTCAGAAGTTACCTAAGTACTTTTCAAGATGTTAGTTGCAAACAAGATAAAGTAATAAGAATACATGAGAGAGAGAGTGGTGGATTGTAAAGTATAAAAAAATCAACACAAAAGCAAAATGAAAAAGAAAATTGAACACAAACAAGAAGAAAAGAGCTATCCAATGCAAGACACTGCAAACCAACAAGCAGCAGAATCGACCAAGGTGATGGATCAAGTTAAAGTCGAACCATGAACCTATATCGATTTTCATGAAACATACAATGAAATCTAAGCAAAGTCGAGTTGAAAAAGACAAAAAGAAAAGTGAGTTTGATGCCAGAAAGCAGCCTCTGAGAATTTATAGCAATTAGCAATAATCCTAGTTGGAATTTGATCCTTCCCAAGTTCCCATTATGCAATAACGCTGATGTATACATGCATCAAAATAGAAACTTTAACACATACCATATGAAGGGTAAGATTTATTAACAAAATGAAGACAAGGAGTTAACTAGTGACAAGTATAATATAACAAATTTCCCAATACGCTGAAACTAGGTTAACCAAGATGCTGATTTAATTCATATACAAAAAATAATCTGAACTGAAATTATTTAAAAACAAAAGTGGAGGAAAAAGCAGAGGGATGGAAAGAAAAACAATAAGGATGTTGGCTAATTAAAATGTTTTATTCACTTACCTAGATCTTGAATCCAAAATTTTATCTGTTTATTATAAGATCATAAAAATGTTCAAAAACTTTATTGCTGTCATAAAATATTGCAATTTTTCCACTTAATGAAGATGAGAACTCATCTAAGGAAATTAACTCTCTAATTTATTATTCTCACCATGTGGGCAGTAGAGAATAGCAAGGCCAAAGGGTCTCACAATTTGAGTAAATACATTGATTGGACTCATCAAGACACTGTCACGAACTCCAAAAGACCAGTAACAGTCAGAAGTGCTCGCATCATGAGCAGCATTGATTGTTTTGGCTCATGACATCAGGAGCACAACCAAAGAAGCACATATCCATATCTAATCTACCTTGTAGCCGAAGTGTAGAAAAATCTTTAGTACTTCATGAAACTCTAAGAATGCACCCATGATCTGCTCAGAAAATTCCCAGATTTATATATAGACATACACACACATATATATGTGAAAAATATACACACATAAATGTAAATACAAAGTACGAGTTACTCATCATGGTGTTAACAAAATGCACCATTTCAATAGGTAAACAACCTAGACACAACTTTCTTACTAATTACCAGCGAAAGACGTCTCATACTGTATGCCAATCCGTGCTCCTTCCAGACAACAGATCACCTACTCCAAATAATTACAAGGGAAAATATCAAAGAGAAACAATAATGCAATTTTTTCACTTAAAAAGTGTGAAAGGAAGTGCTAAATTGATCATGCTGAATTCAAAAAGCATAAACAATTATTAATATTTATAACTTTTATTGCCTTTTAGTACCAAGTAAAATGTTAGTAGCCAAGGGTTGTTAACTTGTTAGTAGGGCAATTTAGCGATAAATCCCTCCTAGCTTCCTTTTCTTGTTAAAAGGACAAAAAAAAAAAATGGAGTACTTTCAAAACCCCCTCAATTTTAAAGTTCTGTATGAAGGACAAAATTTGTTATTTGAATATTTTATCTGACCATTATACCCTCTCTTTCTCTTTCTTTTACACCACTCTCTCACTTCACCAACTCCACTATTCAACGCCTCCACCATGCTCAATCCAAACCAAGCTAGCTCTCAAGACAACACTAGTCCCACTTTCCTTTCCTTTCCTTTCCTTTCTCCAAATTTTACCCAAGAAAATATCTCCCATTTCCATGGCAATTGTGTCATGGTACATGTAACGATGCCAGTTTTGCCACTTCGCTGAGTATGTCAAGGATCGAGCTGCCCGGTCAGCTCGCGGGGTTCCAAGGGGCAACGCCCCTTAGTGGGTCCTAGGGCAACGCCCCTTAGTGGGTCCTAGGGCAACGCCCTGGTCGGGATCGAGCTACCCGATCAGCTCGTGGGGGTCTAGGGGGCAATGCCCCTTGGCAGGTCCTAGGGCAGCACCCTGGTGGGGTTGAGAGGCAGCACCCCCGAAACAAAAATGCAAAATGCATTAAAAGTTGCTTGTTCGCTCAAGCGACCGTTTATGCGCTCAAGCGGAAAATGTTTGGTTACTGAAGTTTGACCTGTCTGCAAAAGTACTGGGAAGGTGCATTCGACGCTCGAGCGAGGCTTTCCATGCTCAAGCGGACCATGTATTATATCAGCTCGTGAATCTGATATTTCAGATCACTTTTATATATCTCTCTCTAAAAACATTTCTTCTCCCTTCTCTCTACTTTTCTCTACGCCAAATTGGATCAAAACCTTGATTTCTCAAGATTCATTAGAGTTCTGCCATAGGTTCTTCATTAAAGTTGGTTAACTTCTCGAGGGTTTCGTTGTGTGCGGTGAAGATCGAGTTTCGACACCGTTGATTTTAGGGGTTTCATCTCATTTCTTCTTCAGGACTTGAGGTAGGGATTTTCTTAAAGTTATATATATATTTTTGCAAGATCTATATGATTTTCAAAATTATCTTTCGAAAGCTTTGAAAATTGATTGTTGATTCAAGAAGTTGAGCGATTTTGAAAATAGGTTTGTCTCTTGTTCTTTTAGAATGATCTTATGGATTTTGATCTTCATTGATTGATGAAAAAATGATTTTGAAAAGTTTTCTTTCAAAATATTTGAGTTGTATAGTTTTTGTGAAAAAACCTAGAATTTGGAGATTTTTTTAAAGAGACTGAAAATCCATGAATAATATTGTTATATTTATTTTGTGCGTCAAAATAAATGGATGTTTGAAAAATTTCTTGTTTATATTTATATAAATGATGAATTTAAGGGAATATGAGAATTGTTGTTCATTTTGAAAATTCTTGTTCAAAACGTTAAAATAGTCATGAAATAACTAATTGTTGAGGATACTTGAGAAGAGGGAATTGTTTTATTCCTTGGATGATAAAGTGGAATAAAAGTATTTATATTCATCTTGTGTTATTGGCATATCAATTCATTTGATTACATTGAACTTTAAAAGTTGATTTGAAAACTAGTATTGAGAAAAGAATGTTGAAAAACAAGTTTTCATGATATAATTTTGGGGTAAATACGTTGGTAAATCTTGATAGGTGGTCTAGATGATATTGAATAAGTTGGCCTGAGAGTTCGGGGTGAAAGACCGAAAACCTGCACAGATAGGTGGCGAGCCTTTGGATTAATACCGGTAAAAATGACAATTTGGTAGTACTTGTATAGTCTACTTGCAGACACCGACCTAAGGATTACCAGAGTCATATTTACCGCTCTTGAAATAAATTGTTAAGTTTTGAACAATTGAAATTGCATGGTATCATTGAGCATGATGGTTTTCAAAAAATGAAAATATGATTTATCTTCAAAAAGGGCATAGCATGGCACGTGCATTTCATCTCTTGAGACTTGTATAAAATGTATATACTTTGTTAAGAATTTCCTACTAGACTTTATGCTCACCCTACGGGATTTTTGTGCAGGAAAAGATGTGGCGATGCCGCCTAACTAAAGGCGAGGAAATGTGTGTTGAGAGTACGAGAGTCTCATTTTACTGTGACTTTGTGTGTAAGCCAAGGGCTGTATATGTGTGAGTTTGAATAACTGTTTTGTGTAACCATGCTCAAGCCTTAAAAACTTGTAAACTCCTGGGGGTATTTATTTGTTTATTTACTCGTTGTTGGATTGTATTGTTGCATGAAAAATTATTGTATCATATAATGTAAGTTTGGAGATTTATATTCGATTTTTCCTTGAAAGAGCCATGATTGTTGTATTATCATTTGGGCTACAAATTTGGGGCGTTACAGTACAAGAAGCATGATGATGGAGATGCCGATGGCGACAATGATTATGCCCCAGCAACACGCACAGAGGGAGATGAGGTTGACAATGGCTATTATGATCATGCTCCGACTGCATAAGTCATGGTTTGTTAAACTATACTATTCTTCATAGAGTGACTTCAAAAGCTGACTTCTAACCCTGTTCATAGGCTTCTTTTTTTTTTTTTCATGAAGCCCAAGCTTTTTGTAAGCTAAGCTAAGATTTTTTTCTATATATTAATGGATTTACAGTAAATTTTACTCTGAATGATATTGCGATTTCACCTTACTTTGGTAATGACATTCACAGTATAATTTTACTGCGAAATAGAGCAAAATTTTATTGTCTACGTCAATCTCGACGGTATTTTTTTTTTTAAAAGCTTCATAGTCAATCTAGATCGTGTTTGATAGATCTTGATAAGAGGATTCTAAAAATACTAATTTCATTAAAAATCGACATCTAGATCAAAAGTTATATCATTTTAAAGTTTAAAATATTAAACTAGTCACTAAAGTTATTTTGGTAATAGTGGTGTGTGCTGGACTTTTCAAGGAAACTTTTTGTGCTTATCCTTAATCATTAAAGTTTTATTATGAGAGAGCTTTGACCAAATTCCCTTTGTTAGTAAAAGCTCAGAAAATAGTCCCAATTCAGAAAATTCATCTTCACTTTAAATTTTCTGACTTTTATACTAGGTAAAAGAACTTGTTTCATGCAAAAATCCAACCAACTTATCAACGAGAAGAGAGAAACTGATTCGTGGTTCAAATTTTTGTAAGTCTCATAAGGAAGTTCCCAAAAGTTTCTTCTTTAAAAAGTTGTAATCAAGATATTTATTGCTTCAGAAGTTTTGAGATCAAATTTACTAAGTTAGACATGCATATTGAACTCCATATTAAGTCAAAAAACTTCTCAACACAAATTTTCAGAGTACAGTTAAGCATTTAAAGGCTGAGAAACTAAGTACCAAGGCAATTATGGTTTTTTTCTTTTTTCAATGACCTCCCACCTTTACTGCAACTTAGGATAATAACATAGCATGTTAGTCACACTTATTTAGGTATATCAGACAAATAAATAAAGTGGTTTAGTAACTAATTCAGATATGGGGGAAAAAGGATTTAACGTGCAAATCACAAATAGTTGAATTAGACTTTGTTGACTTAGTTTGAGTTGTATCTGTAATATAGAAATAAAGCAGAGGGAAAAAAGAAAAGAAAAGAAAAAAAGGCAGCAAATATTTGAATAAGGTCATTCTGCTAAATAATAGTATGACTATGGATTGCAATTTGACCCGCAAATCCAGGGACCCACCCCACCCCCACCCCACCTCACCTCTAATGGGACAAGGTTGGGACTTAAATAACTGGGTAGGGACGGGTGACTGGGAGAGATATATAACCTGACATGAGTTTGGGGTGGGGTAGGGTAGGGTTTAGGTCATCCATCACGAACTTGCCCCAGTAGCTCTATACATTTTGATTTCAATGTTACTCCTTTACTGGTCATATAATGCGTATCTAGAGAAATCTGGCTTTTCATTTCCTACCTACACTAGATTGGTCCCTACTCTCTTTCTTTACTCCAAACTCCAACTACATCAGACAAAAAACCTGCTTTGAAGTCACAAAGGATATATATGTATGCACCAATTACATTATATGCACTTACAAAACTAGATTATCAACAAAATCCAAAATTTGATCCAGGTTATGGCACTCCTCAGACTATACACACACTTCTCGCTTCCACAGAAAGATCTCCTATTACCCTCACCTCAAATAATCCTCATGATGCACAAAGGGGTAAATGTCACATATAAAGTTTTATTCAAGCTGCAAGTAGCAATTGTTTACTCATATTTATCAACCTCAGTATTTTGCTGAACAAATATAAATAGATCCTCTGGAAGATGTGATCCAAATGTGATGAATAAGGAAATCTTTTAGCCAAATCTACTAGTGTAATAGATACCTTAGTTCCAACTTTATATGTAATTTTTTCATGGAAATGAAGACCTGGCAGAATGTTGGCATCCCCCTGCATTGCTTTTCTTTCAACCTCCATGTGAACCTGATATAAACCCCAGAGCAACCACAATAATTTTAATGAAGCAAGAAAATGTAAATATGGAACAGATAGAGTGCTTTTAACCAAGAAGCAGCACAAGAGGAAGATGAGGAGGAGAAGAATTTTGATTTAATAAGATGTAATTTAACCAATTTAAGGAATATGTAGGTTATCAGTCATCAACCATTTCAACCATCTAATCTATGCTCAAAGGAGAAACAGGAAAATCCAATCACATCAAAAGCCTTCAATAGAAAAATACCCGCTCTCTTATTGTAGCTAACAACCCGTCATTCCATTGCTCACCATCTAAACAAATTTCTGCAAAATAAACAACTTTTTGTTAAAGAAGCAATATATCACACTTAATCATATGCAATGGGTGCTCAAAAAAATCAAAATTAAAAATCAAAGAAAGAGTGAGCGTTTGCCAGAGCTGCACTAGTTAAATGGTAATGCAACAACTAGACTGCCAAATCTGTTTATGCATCCACGTGAAGTGTCCTCTAAATACCATACTTTAAAAACCAGTATAGTGCATGCACTACAGGCATCAAGCACACTCCAAAAAAAGGTGGTCACATCTATGCATAAGACAGAAAATCTGACAGACAGGAAGTTGTTTCTTATTAGCACAAGCATTCAAAGAAGAAGAAGAAGAAGACGAAGGTGACCATGATGGTAACCGCAAAATGATGACACCTTAAAATCAGTGACATTAGAGCAAACCACTAAATCCACATTGACAGTTCAAAACAAGGTAAACCAGTGCATGACAGACAGAGTTGTCTTGCCTTATCATAAAGATTGTGCAGACAAAATATTCTGAAGAAGAAGCAGATGGCAATAATGGTGATGGCAACAAAGACACTGATGAGAAGAAGAACCATTTATTAAGAAGCAAGCTATTATATGTACATCAACAAGTCAAAACATTGACGAAAAACCACACAATTATAACAATCTATTAACCAGTATGTCTCATGGACAACGATATAACCAATCTGGGGAAAAAAAAATTGTGCACATGATGCACGCAAACAGACACATACACAGAAGTTTCTTCTTTCTCAGCTCTTCAAATGAACCCTGAGTTCCACCCCATTAATTTGTAAATTGGAGTTAAAGCTAAAAACCATGCATTATATCATGCGCCAACGTTATAATCATGCATTGCAAATTACACTGCACACATAAAGTGTTAGCAAAGAAAAGGAAACATTAAACATAAAAAACACAGAAACGAAAAATGATTAAAAAGATATTCACTCCATTATTTGGGATTGGATATAAGACTTACTAAAGATATAGATGTGAAATAATTCAGCAAACAAAACTATAAATAAACAATGAAAAATGTTTAAGACAGCTGTTGTTAATCTTGGAAAATGTGTAAAAAAATGTATTGAAATATGCAAAAAGTGTTTTGAGATAGGTTAAAAGCATATTGGGATTATAAATATTTTGGCATTATGTGCTTCCTTAAATGACAGCCCAAGTCTTGTCATCAGCGTGACTCATGAACGTAGTTGTTAAATCAGCATTCGAATCGTGAATCGAAATGGCCACATACCGAATCGCAAATCGAATCGAATTGTGAATCGTAAAGATTCGGTCACTTTGTCTAAATTACAATTTATACTTGAATATTATAAACATGAAATATTTAGACTTCAATAAATAAAAATGTTATTTTACATGATGATCACATGGTCTAAATAGGTAAGATGCTTCTATGACAAGAGATGTGAGTCCAAACCCCACTGTGATCTATGATCCTATATTATATTTATGCATTTATGATATAATTTATGTAAATCCACATCATACATGTATGGCAATCCACATTCATTATAATATGATTCTATGAATATATGATCATGAACTAGAATGCACAAACACCTTGCCGGAGGCAGTCGACACATGTCGGATACAGACACGCAGTGGACACGTGTCAGGCACTCTACCAAGCGTGTCCCCTGTTTTTTTTTAAATTTTTCTAGCCGAACACGTTTTCAATACGCCAAGACATGTTTGGACATTCTGTAACAATATAAAGCTTGAAAAATAGAGAGGTGGATCGAGGCCCTAACCCGTTGGAGACAAGAGAGAGAGAGAGAGAGAGAGAGAGTGAGAGAGCCCTAACCCGTTCTTCATTCTTCGTTTTGTTCTTTTCTTCGATTCATTTCTTCTGTTATTCATTCTTCCTCGGTCGCCTTCGTTTTTCTTCCTCGTTTGTCTCTTCGTTTTTCCTCTCTCTCTTCTTTGTTTTTTGTTCTTTACCAATGGAAACAAATATTGATTTGTTTTAATATATATAATAGGTTTGTGGGCCCACTAAAGATCACCATCCCACGAGCCCACCAACCTCACTAATGCATTCACCTTCACACATCTTCTATTATAATAATACTCCACACCAACAAAAATCTTTTGGTAATGTATTTATTAATTTTATTATTATTATAATTTTATAAGAATAAATATTTGATTCTTAAATATGGCATTGGCTTTTATATTATTTTGTATTTTTAATTACCTTCTAACAAATTTTTATTTTTATTTTTATTTTAGACATATAAAAAATAAATAAAATTATATATATTGAGCGTGTCCCCAACATATCGTGACTCCATTTTTTGAAAATTTACGTGTCTCCGTGTCCGTGTCCGTGTCCGTGTCCGTGCATCATAGATCACGAATAAGGTTCACAAGTACTAAACTTTTCAAAACTCTAATCTATACTTGCAACTTGTGTCAAAAAGAGACCATGCAAAAACAAAAGTTAGAATAGACAAATTAAAAAAATCTAAAAAGCCTTCATTTCTTCATTAGTCAATCTTCATCATCTCCAAGGTCAACATCGGAGTCATCCTCTTCATCATCATCTACCATAGTCACTTCATCAAACTCTTCTTTCTCTTCCTCTTCTCCACCTTCAATCAATTCAACGTCATCATCATCTTCAAATACTTTTCATTTTCCTCTATCGTCATTTAAATTTCTTGGTCCTATATGAAAAAATTTCTTGGTCCTATATTAAAAAAATAAGGTTACAAATGAGCAAGCAAAGGTGAAAGCATAGAAACTAACTCTTTTTTTTTTTTTTTTGATAAATTAAGCATAGAAACTAAATCTTTGAAATTAACTTATTTCAAATATAGAATTATACCTCTTTTTCTCTTTTTGCTACTTGTTGCTCCATCATCTTCGAAGCACTCTTGGATGTCCATCTATGAATGATCTTCCGGTAGACATGGATCTACTTTCTCGGTAATCCATTCATCATCGGATACCATATCTGATAAATAAATAGGATCATAAGTCTCACTCCTTTCTTGTCTCTTAATTTGCCTCAACTCAAGTTGAATGTTATACTTCACAAAAACCAAAGCATTCAACCGTTTGTTGCCCCAATCGGCTTCTTTTCTTGGAGGGCCCATAATCAAAAGTGCTCCAATTTCTCTCACACCCGGTGGCACTACAAGTAACGCTTAACACTCTAATAGCTAGCTCTTGAAGCTCTCTGCACTCTTTTCTAACTTTCCCACCATAGAGCTATAATAAAATGATAAAGAGATATTAGAGAATAATGCATGCCAACATAATTATTGTGAAATTGTAAATTTACAATTTCATAATCAAAATTTACCGGGTTGCTTCTTTTCCCTTGTCAAGATGGCCATGCTCATACCAAACATACCCTCTTCTTGAACTTTTCTAATTGCTCATCAACTTCACTCTATACTCTTCACTCTATCCTCTATATCTGGATACATCCTCTCTGTGGTTCTAAATAAACCAATTTTCACCTCCGTATCCACAGTGAAGTTCTCTTGATAATGAAACCTAGAAAGAAAGATAACTTCATAAATAAATTTCATTACACATTTTGTAAATAAGTCACACAAATAATTAGACAAAAAGAGTAAAAAACTTACATGAGATTAAGGTAATATGTCACTGCATGAAAAGGCCCATGGAGTTGTAAATCACATCTAGTATCAATAATTTCCCAAATGCGCTTATATCTACCCCTCACATGGTTGAAGTTTGAAGCAATTTCTTCCTTCGCTCTATCCATAGCTTCATAAATAAATCTCATGGTCAACTTTGCATCACCATCCACAAGCCTCAAAATTTTCACCAAAGGGAGCAAACACTTCAAGCAATACTTGATTGCTTTCCAAAATCTAGCTCCTCCCAAGATTGTTCCTTGTGCCTTTTTTGCATTAACAGATGTAGAATAGGTTCTTCCAGGCTACTCTTCTGATGCAAACATAACTCTAAGTTGGAGCTTTCTATCTTGGAAACTTTTTAAAGTAAGGAAGGTGGTGGCAAATCTAGTAACCACGGGTCTTGTCAACTCCCTATTCTTTGTAAATTTTCTGAACAAATCAAGCCCCCAAGCATGCCTATAAATGTACCCAGCAATTTCCTTGGCTTTAGTTATTGTATCTTTGCAAACCGTCAACTCACCTATGCCACTTAACATTAAGTCAAGGCAATGTGCTGCACATGGGGACCAAAACAATTTAGTCCTCTCCTCTTCCAATAATCTACTGACACCACATAGGCCAATGCACTATCGGTTACCACTTGAACCACATTTTCTTCCCCAATTTCATTTACAACGTCATCAAGCATCTCAAATAATTTCATAGAATTTTTAATTGCACCGAAGGTATCTATTGATTTAATAAACACCGTTTCACTTGGACTACTAAAAAGGAAATTAGTAAGAGAGCAAAACTTTCCATCGGTCCATCCATCGGACATTATAGTGCAACCCTTCTTCTTCCATTCCTTCCTATACACTTCTAAACTTGCATTGACATGATGAACGTCTTTTTTCTCAATCCCACACCATACTCACCAACTGACTTCTACATACACCAACATTATCATGAGTTCTGACTAAATGATTTTTCATTCGAATCACCCCACCCCAGTAATCTTTTCCACAATAATTACATCTTGAATGCATTCTATTGTCATCTTTGACACGGGTACAATGGTCCCATGTCAGATCCTGTGTCCCATGTTTTTTTTTTTTTTTCTTATCCACCAAAGAAAGCAAAATATTGACTTTACATTACCAAAAACCCAACAAACAGCAGCTCCAATACCACAGTACACAACAATAAAGTAGTAGAAAAGTTTAAAGCCAATATAGCAATTTATAATACCATAAAGCTTGTCTGCTAGTAGCTGTCATAAAGTTGAAGACTCAAAGAAGACCACACTTTAATAAAGTTCTGCAAGTTGAAGACCCAAGGACCACCGAATCAAGCATAAAGTTGAAGAGGGGCCACCAAACAGTGACAGAGCAAGCATCGGAAGCAGAGAGAAGGAGAACAATATTTTTCTAGGGTTTTTGTCTTTTGGGAGTGTAAATACAGACAATGGGTCTTGGATGTTCGAGTTAGAAGACAAGTTAACCCATCATCTAGCAGAAAAAAGCAAAAAAAATGGGCCAGAAATCAATTTTTGCAAATTGGCTCCAAGAAAATTATGGGTCAACCCACGAGAATCTGACTCGCATGATTTAGCAATTCATCGATTCGCAGTCGATTCTGTACCATTTCCGATTCTACCAACTTGTTCGAATCAATTTGCATATGTATCGAATTGAATCGTACGATTCGCACGATTCGAATCGCGAATCACACGATTCTAACAACAAAACCCATAAACAATTAATTGTGAAGTTGTGATCTACATTCAATCAAGACATTATTTTCATGAATTTTTGTGCAACCTTACACGCTAAGATTTCCCACATGGATCTTATAAACAAACAACTCGTGATGTTGCAGAAGGCTATTAGATTGAACTCCGTTCAAAATTTCTCCAACCAACAAAGTAGTGGGATATGTTGAGCTTAAAATTTTAGATTACTACTTCTATTCTGAATGGAACCATAAAACTCAAACAATCAAGACAATCAAAAAGTTTTTTTGCTTTAGCAAGTGAAACATAGGCCCATGAACCAATATAAGATTTGGCCCTGAACGAAATCCCCAAAGCCCTTTGCTGATATTCAAAAATAATAAACCCATCACAGTAAAGTAAGCATGCAATTCCATCAAAAAGGCATTTGTGACAATATATATATATATATGGAAAAAAATAAAAATAAAAAAAATCAATCAAGTTTCTCAAATAAAGGGTAGAAAGACATATTTTGTCACCTGACCATATTCTCATAGATTGCAATATTCATGACAAGAGAAGAGTGCAAGTGTTTTCAGGTCCTCAATCTCCCTAATCAAGTAGCATATTCAGGAATGTGTATCTGTCTATCGCTGTTTGTATCCATTAAGCCCATTTTCTTGTGAATGCAGTTTCAGTTTAGGTAATTTCTAGAAGCAGCGGCAAATTTAATTTATTCCCTCTTTTTTTTTTTACTCATTTTGTATTTTTTCCAATTTCAATGTGTGAATGATTTAAATCAACATTTGGCACCTTATTGTGACGCATGACAGCCTAGTGCCCTTGAATTCTAGGGTTGTACCTGTACCCCGACAAAACACTGGTGGATTTTATTTTATTTTTTTGGTAATCAAAATGAATGATCCATTTAAGGGGGTAAACTCTGCTGGATTTGAAGAAAAAAATAAAGAGAATCAAGAGTGACAGCAATGAAGCAGATAAATAATCAGAAAACAACAGAGAAAACAATGAGAGAGAAAAGCACCTTACTCCATGAATGATGAGATTTACACCCAAACTAACAAAAGATCCATACTAAACCTTAGACTAAGAAAAAAACATACATTGAACTCTGATCATGTTCTACAGAAAACAGCCTTAGTTTCAAGGAGATCTTATGACCATTAAGAAAGGACAAACGAGGAAACGAGTGACAAAATTGCTTAAGATTCTTACAATTGATATATTGTGCAGTAAAACAAAAAGACAAATGAATGATAAAACAGAACAGAAGCAAAGCCGGACACCATAGACACACACTATCGAGAGCAATAATCATTACAATGAAAACTCAAAAGTTATTGTCAAATATACCTTGAGTTTGAGCAGCACGTGCAGCTTCGAACTCCTTTTGTAGACGCTCAAATATCATTTTGTCAGAATCCCTATGAAATGCAATCAGTTTTAGAATCTACACCCTTCCAAGATCAAAATCAATCTTCTATTATATGTACTCAAGATGTGAAATCAAATTATGAATAAAAACATACACAACAAACATTAAACATGAATAAAAAAAATTAAAAACCCACTCATAACTTCATAAAAAAATTTAGTACCCATCTTATTTTTGTAACACTTTTATGTTTGTCTGTATATATTTAACTACTCAACCTATGATATGCAAAGATTTTGTTTATATCTGACGTGAAGCATGCAAAAAAGAACAAGGGCAAATTTTTATCACACGGAGCATGCCTTGGACATTGTAAAATAATGTTTGAGGTTTCTCTGAGTTTTCATTTTACGTTTCTCTCAAGTTAGTAGGTTGTTGGACATATCTATTTATGTTTCATTAGGTTTTAGTACTAGTTAAGGGCAGAAGGTCCTATTTTAAGAACCTAAGGCTATTGTGATTTTCTTAGGTTTAGTTTAGGACATTATAATTTATAAGTAGTCAAATTTTATTATATTCTTAGTTTTGCATTATCATCCTATTAAAATTAAGAGAAGTTTTATTAGCCCAAAAATATTTTTGCAATAGTTATATTTATTACAAAGTTGACTTACAAAAATTTAAGGCCTTGTTTGTCATAACCTAAAAAAGTCAAAAAGTCACTATCCTATTTAAGTCACATCATCTTATTTAAGTCACATCACTTCTCTATCACATCACTTCAAACCCAAATCCATATCCAACCCATATTTCATAAAAAGTCAAAAAGTGCACTTATTTAGATCATCCCAAACCACCCCTAAGACTGTCTTTGCATGAATTTGCTTGACTATTGCAAGAGCAAAACCTTTCTTCTAACTCTATTATTTTTTGTTTTGCTCTTCTACTTTTTTCTTTTTGCAAAAACTCAGGATACTATTCTCGGAGTCATATTCACATCCCCAAAATAGTCTTTCAGCCATAAAGCATAACATATTAAGCTCTAATCAACCTTAAGCCCATCCCTAACCTAGTGACCTTCAGGCTGTCCAGGCTTCCATCACCACCTTCTCTCTTCAAATCCAGAAACCTCCTTTTCCAAATCAGGCCAAAAACTTACACAAAACCCTAAATTCTCTCTTCTACCTTGTAGATCCCTAAACTGCAAAGCTTTCCTAAACCTCAAACCCACCACAAAATCAATCATACGTAACATTTATCTAAGTTTCTAAAAGCTATCCTTCATCATTATCACTTTTGCATTGTTACATGCATACTAAATATACTTTCGAACTCCCACACTGTACAATTCTTATAAGATTGTTAGTAATTATATGCATGAGACTGATATGACATAAACAGAAAAATAAAATAAAATATTCTAACAGGTTCTTCATTCAACAGACAAGGATGCAGCTATAGGCGGGAGACTACATGACAAAGCTACAAGTTACAACCTTAGAGGCAAGAAATAGTTATGGATAGAATTTTTTCAATAGTCAGAAATTGTTATGATTGATCCATACAGCAAATTCAAACTAAACAAACTTTCAACAGGTCAGAATAACCTGGCATGTATTTATAGGAAACTAAGGCATGGTGTGTCCAACACCATGTCGAACACTGACACAACATGGTCCTTGCTGGGCACTTCCCAACATGTCCTATTTTTAAAATTTTTCTAGACTTGGACACGCTTCTGGTAATTGAAGAAGACATGTTTCTTTCACTTGGATACCCATGAAACACATTACAAATCTGAATTAAATAACTTAGAACCCAATGATAAAAGAAACACAACATAAATTAAAACCAATTCTCCACCTATAGCCTTCAAGAAATAATAAAACTACAAATCTGAATTAAATTCTCCACCTATAGCCTTCAAGAAATAATAAAACTACAAATCTGAATTAAATAACTTAAAATCCAATGATAAAAGAAACACAACATAAATTAAAGCCAATTCTCCACCAATAGCCTTCAAGAAATAATAAAACTTGAATTTAGTATTTATATATAAGACATATAATAATCATCCATAAAATTACATATATATTTTTATAATAAATATATAAAATTATATATTTTGAGTGTGTACCCCACATGTCCTATCCTACATTTTTTTAAAGATTTTTGTGCCTGGATCCGTGTCCGTACTACTTAGATAGGAAATAATGTAAATGATCAAAATACGACCAAACCAAAAAAACTGTTAAAATGTAAAATTTAACACAAAGTTCTAAGGTGGAATTGGAGCAACTGGAGTTCCAAAGGAACAGAAACAGTACGTCTCCCAGAGAAGCCAGTAAAGGCAAGTTTGAAACAACAAACAAAAGTTGAAACTAAACAAAAAAAATTGGAAAAATATTAATTGAAATTAAACATAATCACCATTCTTTGATCAAAGAACAAGTATTTCCTAAAGAAAACAACAAACGAAGTGCGAGAAAGATGAAATATTATAACCCAACTAGGGTTGCAAATGAACCAAGTTGTCCGCAAGCTAGCTCAGCTCGGCTCAACTCATTTAGTAAATGAGCCAAGCCGAGCTCAAGCTTGAATAAGCTCAGCTCATTTATCATTATTTAAATTACATAATAAATATATTATTTATATATATTTATATATTCCTTAATATATAAATAATAGCATAAATACATTATTTATGTATTAAATAATATAAATAATAATAAAAAAAGTCTTATCGAGCTCGAGCTCGAGCTCAAGCCCAAGCCCAGTTAGTTATTGAGCCGAGCTTGAGCTCAATAAAAGAGCTC